TGTTTTTACTCAATATTATTAAACTCGAACCGGTTATTTACCTGATCAAGATACTAGGTTAATGAGTTATTGATTTAATCAGTAACTAATTCAACCAGTTAGTCAAATTATTTAATAAATATATTAACATATACATTTTAAAAATCAAACTTCTCTAACTTAGTGGTAAATGCTTCATTATTCATCCGTCAAACATGGGTTCATGACAGATTCACCGATTTAGTACCGGTTCAATGACATAACCGTTTCATTGTCGTTCGAATATGGCTGATTGATAGTCTGGTTCTCAGTTCAATCCATCGAATCGGTCGGGTTAGGTCGGTTTCAATAACAATGTTTTTACTAACTACCTGCCCTATTTAATATGATAAATAATCTAAAAAAATGCCACAAAATTTGAAAAAATGGAGAGAATTCAATTAAGAATAATAATTAGGCTTGTTAAAGTGATGACAATTATTTAATTATTTAAAAGTTAATAATCATACCAGCTTCAGATAAAAAATCAAACACAAGAATTATGGGTACCTGTTTTTTATTGTAAATATTATTTCCAATTGATGTGTCTTCGTGGTGAGATTTTGTTTAGGGGTGTGTATCCAATCTGCACGACCAATTTGACAGTCTCAACCCTTTCGGTGTGTACGACCAATTCCACGACCAAAACGACATATAGACGAACAGAAATTCCAGCGTCAAAATCGAAAAACGTTTTGGTGACGACTGACGAAGGCCTACGAACGAACACACTGAAATGGTCCACGTCGCAACCCCACGCGTCTTCCACGTGGGCCACGCATGAACGCCTCGTGGCCAAACCTGGTAGGCGACCACACGTGGGACAGCAAAAGATAACACCTTGGTGAATTCCTGTACTTCACGATTTCATGATCAATCCCTTATTCAATATTAATTGTTAAATGCTTAGAATACATACATTATTATTTAAGGGACGTTTGGTTGAGAAAAATTTTATTTTATTCAAGAATCTCGATTTTTAGAAATATGATGAAAACATTCAGTTTATAATAATATCTGAAAATTAAAATTTTAAAAAAATTCAGTTTCTTAGAAATCTTACAAAATACCTTGTATCAAACGTCTCCTAATAAAAAAAATAAAAATGAAAATGCTTCAACTGTGGTAGTTTGAAGCTTGGTATGTATCTTTAGGGGTGAAATATGTCAGTATAAGGGTGGTGAAAGAAGAGGTGATATAGATCAAAACTCAAATGAGGGTCACCATAGGTAAGGTGTTATTGCAGAGGGCTACAAAAAGAGAGTGACGAGTCTATAATGGCTCTAAAATCTAACAGAATAATAATTCATAAATATGATAGAAATCACATAACTTCTCTGTTAGGTAGTGTTTGGTTGAAGTTTTATTTTGAGATTAATGGGAAAGTGTAAGTGGGTATTGAAAAATACCACGTTTGGTTCAGATTTTTTAAAAAAATACTAGACAAATAGGATAGATGAGAAAATGACTTTTGTGTTGATTTTTGGATAAATTCACTGTTACAGAATGCCACATGTGGTATTTTGAGTTAACTGGAGAAGTGAAAAAACAGGTGCGAAGTTTCTCCCGACTATAGATTTTGCAAATTTAATTAAATTTTCCTGGTAATATTTCGGTCAACCAAACAACTTTCTTTACATTTTCCTATCAAACTCACTTTCCAACCATTTCCCTAGTAATTACATTTTCTTAGTATTCAAAAAATTTCTCGTCAACCAAACGCCCCCTTAGATAAGTAGGGTTTATATTGGGGAATAAATAAGAGAAAGGGAAAAAATGAGCGTTAGTCCTTTCTCTAGTAATGGCGAAGCCACTTGGTTTCTAACTGGTATTTTTGCACTAATGTTACATATTTTTTTTATGGTATAACTTTGGTATTAATTAGGTTTTAAAAATAATATATCATTGATGTTAGTGAATTTTTTTAATTGAATCTTTCGACACATGTGAGGAATTTTTTTTTTGGCTCCGGCCACTAGTCTCTAGTATTGCAATGTGGCGTACTCTCACTATCGTGAATGTACATGCAGAAAGAGGGATATCCCTGTATAGTGAACCCTGATTATTATTCACCATAGGGTATCATTCAGAAGATTTAAATGAGTCTTCTCCTGAACCAGTATACTGGGCCAGTGGAAGCCGGCAAAACAAGACTCATGACTTTTTATTTTGTTTTACTAATCTTTTCTATTTATATTGTTTTATTTAATGTTCATTTATTATTATGTACTGAAAAGAAAAAGAAAAAGAAACTATAACTACTACTTTTGCGTTTCGAAATTCGCGCAGTTGCATTGTTCGATAAATTCAAAAAAGTACAAGTTTATATGAATCTGGGGGTTGCAAACTTACAACCCTCCAGTACAGTATAGAAGTCTTTTCTATGTCACCCTCCCACGGAGTAACAGAAAGAACGCGCACAAAAGCAACTTTAGCTTTTGTTTTTGTTTAATTTTTTTATTTAAAAAAATTGATTCTTAGAATTTTCTAATTGTTTTAATTAAACTTTTTAACTACTAGTTGATCCGATACTTGAGCTTAGATTAGACTTTTAATTTAGTTTTACATAAATATGATCTTTTGAAAAATAATTTTATGATGAAAAACAAAGTATTTTAAATTTTTTTATAATGTTCTTTTTCAATCCTAAAGAACTGTACGATTATACCGTAAGATATGTGTTTAATTAGAGATATCTTATAGACAGATATTTTGGTTGACTTATAGTTAATATTTTAATTATTGCGCACAAATAATAAGCTTATAGTCGAGATATGAGTGTGTGTGCATAGTGTTGACAATAATAGTAAATGAGTTCTAAGTGTGTACCGTGGGTCTTTAGTCTTTTATTTACAAGAGTTATATTTTGGACTTGAATTGTGCAGATTTTCCAGGTGATATAGGATTTAACCTCTTATTTGTTGGGATAAGAGTTTTGTCTCCTTGTCTTTATTATTTTATACTATTAAGATAATTGTGTCATTATCCATTAAGAGATTCATGAGTAGATAATTAAGATATGGATACTTATATGAAATTTTCATATAAGTAGTTTCGATTAAAGAAATAGTGAACTTTTAAATATTTTTATTTTTACATTGCCGACTAAAATCAAATTAAATTTGTCATGATATGATTGTATGGAAAAAATAGTTAAATGTGTTTTTCGTACGGGACCCACTATAGTGTGAAATTTCCAATAATCTTTCACAAACAAAAGCTTTTAAATGCTTGACCCCTCAAGCTATGTACTATGCCCTACACCCGCTTTCCTTGAGCCACGTCTTTTTATACGTGATATTGCTATTCACCATACCTAGCCACATATTCTTTTTCATTAGTTCTATACATTTGTATATGAAAAAAGTTTTATTGATAAAATAATAATAATTATAAACTATATTATGTATTATGGATATATTATATTATATGTTAGTATATATTATTCATAATAATTAATAATTGGTAAGAGTTTGTAATTTTTTTTTTGTCAATATATATAATCATTTCCTTGTTCTATTTACATATTCTTTTTCAATATAAAACATTTCTTTTCATATCATACTCGCTATTAATATTTAAGTTTTCAATATATAAGATCTATGTGAATCACACACGATTGAGTGTCTATTTTGATCCTTTTATTTTTAATTTTTTTTAAGCCAAATAAGTTTTGAAAAAAATTCTTATAATGAAATTTTTTTTTATAATGAAAAAAAAATCAAAAATCAAAAATTCTTTGTAAGAGTTTTTTTTTAAAATTCTTTATAGTTTTTCTTGAATTATGTGTTTTTAAATAAAGAGCGATAGAGATAGAAAGGTTTTTTTTTAAAATATGTGCTTTTAATAAACTAAAAAATTATGTAATCGTGAAACAGTTTTTATTTTTTTTTAGCTTTAATTTAAAAGTGATTTTTAGTTTAAAAAATGGAAGATCCAAACGGACTCTGAAAACTTTGAATTTAAGTTAAGCACTATCTACACAAAAATCAATACCTCTATTCCTCAAACAAGAATTAGGTTAATTCGTAGTTTTACTTATACTATTGTTATAAGATTTTATGATAATAAAAAAGTAACGCAAATAATAGTTACAAACCAAATTAGAAAGAAAAGCTTGGCATCCAAGTTATATTATGTGGTCTTGGTCATAGCGAATAAATGTTCCAACATTGATCAGCGTGACGATACGTAGACGCAATGGGAAACGCCAAACAAAAAGTGGAAGATAGACAGAAAAAAAAAAAAAAAAAGTTTCCGCGTAGACAGATCAGACTGCGAAGGGACTGTGAGTCTGTGATGATTCTATATATTTTTCTAATAATTTATTTAATATTATAACATGGGAAAAAATATTACTCATAGAAATATTTAAGACTGAAGTGGATAAGCACTATTTTGTATTGAAGTTTCTTTCTTGAGAAGGTTTTATTTGATTTTCGTCGTTATTTACTCACCATATATATATATATCCTACAAAAAAGTTTGGGGCATAGGTTGATGTAAAAAGCTTACACTAATTTTATATTTTTTTTCTAGTTTTAAAACAAAAAATAAATAAAAGGTGTTGGAATATACTTTTATTTTTTTGGAGAATATACTATTTTTATTTTATTGTATAGCTAGAGAAAATATGTAAAAATGATATAATAAAAATGGTAAACAAATATAATTATTTTAATTTCTTTTGGTCTTAATTATCTTTTTAAACTTTGACTCTAATTAAACAAAATAGTTAATGTAATATCCACTTATGTTACCCTATATTAAAAAAAGAGCAAATTGATTTCTTCATAAAAATCTGAATGAATAACTGAAATAGAAATAGAAACCCTTGTCACGTAGCAAAGCAAAACTTTCTTTTTCTTCTTACGCGATTCACACACACCTTGCTCGATCTTGTGTTCACACCACATACATATATAACCCTTTCTTTTCATTCTCATCTTTTCTCTCTCTTCCATAACCCCTCAAAGAAGACTCATCTTTTTGTGTGTAATCAGAGAGCTTCTCCTTTCTAGAACTTGGAAGATTAGATTCGAGTATACTCACTGGCTTTTCAATTTGAATAATGGAAGGGCGTCATCTTCATCAACATGGAGAACGGCAACGGCAACAGCTACAACAACAACAACAACACCTTCACCCTCAAAATATGAGTGTTAACATGGATACCATTGATAGGTTCCCTCAGTGGAGCATCCAAGAGACCAAGGAGTTCCTAATGATCCGAGCAGAGCTTGATCAAACTTTCATGGACACAAAGAGGAATAAGCAGTTATGGGAAGTCATCTCCAACCATATGAAGGAAAAGGGTTACCATCGAAGTCCAGATCAGTGCAAGTGCAAGTGGAAAAACCTTGTTACCCGCTATAAGGTATGTTTATTCTCCTCTATCTATCAAAACTCATGATAAAATTATAAGGTTTCATTTTTTTTTTTCTAGATATATCCACCACTTCATCGATTATCCGATTAATCTAATTCGAGGCTCTACCAAAACCTATTTTCTTAGTAATTAATCACATACTATTTTTCTTTTTCTTTTTTATTTTATTTTTCCTTTTCCACCATATTGGTGATTGAGAGATTATGAGTTTGATTCCTCGTCTTTATTTTCTTTTCCACAATACAAGGATAAAGTTTAATTTTGTCTATCATGATTCATGATATAAGAAGGAATTAGAAAATAACACAAGTTTTATAGACTTCAATGAAATAGTGCTAAGATAAATTGGTGTTGGTGAGAAGTTCTAGCTAGTTGTAGTCAATATTTTGAAAGCTTCTTAGGTTTTGTATATATACTAAATAGTACTATTTTTTTTTTTTGGGTGTGTATAAAGGGATGTGAAACAATGGAGCCAGAATTGAGACAGCAATTCCCATTTTACAATGAACTTCAAGTGATTTTCACAGCAAGGATGCAGAGAATGTTGTGGGCTGAAGCTGAAGGCGGTTCAAAGAAGAAGGCTATGCATCTCTCTTCTGAAGAAGAAGATGATGGTAATGAAGGGAGCGAAGCAGATCAAAAGGGTAGTAGCAGAAAGAAGAAAAAAGCTAAGATAGTTAGTGTCGGTAGTGGTAGCACTAGCAGTAGCAGTTTGAACAATTTGAAGGAGATTCTGGAAGAGTTCATGAGACAACAAATGCAAATTGAAGCACAATGGATGGAAGCATTTGAGGCAAGGGAGAATGAAAGAAGGTTAAAGGAGATGGAGTGGAGACAAACCATGGAAGTTTTGGAGAATGAGAGGATAATGATGGATCAAAGATGGAGAGAAAGGGAAGAACAAAGGAGAATTAGAGAAGAAGCTAGGGCTGAGAAAAGAGATGCTCTAATCATGGCTCTGCTAAACAAGCTAGGAAGGGAAGAGATGTAGTTTAGTTAGTTATAGCTTAGATAACTTACTTTGTTGTGGTTTTTTCTTCTCATGAAAGGAAGCTTAATTTTAGAGGTTTGTTCTTGGAATTAACTCTCAATTTCATGGAGTAAATTAAAACTAAAATTAACTTTGTGGTTCTTATGATTTTTGCCAAGTTGTTCTTCTATTTATCTACTCCTGTTTTGCCCCACTTGAGGCTTTCTTTAGCCAATGCAAAGTAAGAAAGGGTTCGATGTATATATTTTTTAATTGGTGTATGGCACTAGAGAACGTAATTATGGTTTTTGGTCATGCAAGTAGGCACTAGCTCTGTTATCATTGAGAGAAGACCAATATCTCATGTGTGTGTATCCCATAAACTTATCAATGTTCCAAAGAGCTTAAACTGGTAGTAGGTGTAGATAGATATATAAAGAGCACTATAATTTATTTATTTTTATTATTCATAGATTACTCGATTAGTTGGATTCAAGTTCAATAGTACTACATGGCAATCTCCATATCAAGTTTAAATACAATTGCATTATCAAATATTCAAACCTGAGACCACTGATTAAGTTAAAACAAAATCTTTTATCAGCCGATCCACGTGTTTGGTGATAAAGAGCACTATAATTTAAATTCACATTACCTAACAAACTAACAATTGAAAACTGGAAAAATATCATTGTCCGCAAGATAATGCTCATCATAATGGCTATCCATTTATTTAGAAGCAAAGTTTTATGGTTAATGGAGCATTTGCTTAAATGGATCACTTCATACAAAGAGCTGTTAGTTTCACTTTCAACTACACTTGAAAAAAGTAAAGGTGAAATTTATATATATATATATATATATATATATATATATACATGTTGGTACTCTTCAATACCAAGTAGGGTTTTTGATCTTGTGATAAGGTGTAAACTTCAAGTTCATGGTCTTAATGGTTGAGGATGAACTCAACGATGAAGAGAGATAATGATTTTTTTCTTTGGAAATGCATTATGATCTCCAAGTTATGTATGAATTTGAGAGGCCAATGTGTAATTAGAATCCGCATTAGGATTTTGACAACTAGGTGAGCATGTTTTGCATGCACACGAGAGATCTTGAATGGTTATTGACATTGACCTGTGCACGTGAGAAAGCTCACCATAGTGGGTGGAAGAAAAAAGTTTTCAGCCTCGGGTATGAACTTGTGACTTTTAATTAGGAATTGTCCAGGTGCATATTTTTATGAATAAAGAATCATTCATTTTATGGAAATGCATGTCAAATTGACTTCATAGAGATCGATGCTGGAATACATAACTTTGTGAATTAAATTTCTTATACATATCAATAATTATTAGTTCATGTGATAAGGAATTATTTTTCTTAAGAAGTGATATTGAATTTGAGCCATGGGAATGAAAAAAATTATCTCGGGAGATCCATGCCCCGAATATGGGTTCGACTATGGCTACATCTTGGGAGAGCAATGGGAATGGAAAAACCTGCAAGGGCACGGAAAAAATTGCAGGGCCCATAACCCGACAGCTATATATGTGGTTGATTGAGACTTGCAATAGGTGGATTCTATAAAAAAAAATTGTATATTCTCTTTGCAATAGTGTGGTAGAAAAAAAAAAATTTGCAATAAAAATAGAAATATGATTTTTTTTCTTATTTTTATATTATTAATATGTTACTATATATTTTCAAGTTATAAAAACAAGTACTGTAATTTTTTCAATGTTCACATATAAATTCAATTTCTGATATTCATATATTTATTAGAAGGTACATTTTCTGAAATCAGTTACCGAAATTCTTAATTCAACTTGATTATCATTATCCCAAAATAAATAAAATCACTCAGGTGAATGAACAAAATGTAAGCTTAATTTGCTGCTGTTGGATTACTTCTCCTTAATTAGATACAAGTTCTAATGCATGGAAGAATGAAAAGACTTCATGGAAAAATGATAGGACTTCATGGGAGAACGAAGAGTTGTATTGAAATCCTCCACATTAAATGAAGAAGAATCTAGAGCATTGAAGATATCTCTCTTAGCCATCTATAAATAGAGGAAGAGATGAGATCAACAAAGTGAGGTGAAGAAATCCTCCATGATAAAGAACCCTACTGAATACCTCCAGGGAGAAGTTCGAGTGAGACATCTCTAGGGAAGTTAGAATACCACCATTGTAGGTGATACTTGATTATTTCAGAGTACCTCTAAAGAGATGTTTGAATGTTAGACCACTTTAGGGACGTTTGATGTTACCACCATACTTGGTGAAACTTGATTGTACCTGTAGTGAAAGACTAGGAAAGTTTGACTGTTGTAACCCCTTATTCTTATAGTGAAAGTTTGATTATGGATTAGTTTCCCGTGAGTTTTTATTTCTTCACATTGGAGAAGGTCTTCCCACGTTAAAAAAATTGCCTATGTTCTTCTCCATCTCTCTCCTCTTGCATGTTTCGCTTCCGCAATCGACTTGAGGATCCGACTTGACCCAACAGCTGAACACTTCATACTATAATATTTAATTAGGTCACAGTTCAAGATCTAAGTTGGTGTTTCTCCCTAAGGTAAAAGCTTAAAAAACGAGGGCTAGAGTAGAATCTATGTACACCAGGAATAATATCGTTGGGGTGGTATTCATTCAAGTACGAGGATGATGAGTACGTAAACCAAATTATATAAAGGTACCATTTGAAAATAGGAAAGTTGTTTTTGTTTTGATTATGGTCCATTATTAGTGTAGTAATCCAAAATATGGTTTCGAAGGGTTGATTTAGTGGACAATAAATATATGATGTGCGGGTGGATATATGATTTGAAAATGTGAAAATTTATGGCCATGCCCGTCTCGACCGGGCTAATATGGATGATTCGGTGGGAAAATTAAAATGAAAAATTAAAATTGGTGGAAGTGTGCGTAAGTTAACCCAAACATGACTAGAACACAATAATAATGATCATAATAATAAATTAATAATAATATTAAACTCTGTTCAAATTAAGTGTATCAAAGTAGAATACTAAATCACATCATACCAGAACATTTAATATATTGATATTGTTTATGTTTATGCCTGTTTATTCTGCGTGATTTTTTTATTTAATGATGGGTCAAACTGATTATAATTGAATTACTTGTCTCTTAATTAATGCTTGAAAATGTCACTTACCGACTAAATTTAATAAACAATAAATATATTAATTGCCTGACCAAATAAAATGTTTAAATCTATGTATAAGACTAACTAAAGTGATGCAAATAAGTGTGTACATACTTTTTTTGTGTGGTGACTACTGGTGAGAAAAGAAAAAGACGACGAGAATATATATGAGTCCATCTTAATCAAATGAATAATAGTTAGAATGATACATACAATATCTTAGGAAAAACATTTTGAATAAAAAAATTTAATAACAACTTTTTTTTAATCATTCCTGTTTCGGTTCACACGTAATAATCAATCCGAGGCATTAGGCAATAGTAGTTTTCAAGTTTGAATGCTTTTTTCAGCTCAGATATATTTAATCTAATTGTTTGATTCGAAAAATTAAGGAAAACAGACTATAAATAAGACATGGATTGGTTTTTTGCGTCTAATCTAGATCTAAAAAGTTGAACTTTGAATTAGAATTTTTTGAATGTTAAATTCTTTCCCCTAGATTTGATCCCCTTGTATTGTAATAGTAAAGTCTTATCCCTACGTTGTTTCTTATTAGAACAGCACCTTCTAAATCAGTAACAAAAGATTTGGAACATTGCGAAAGAACACGGTTTTACAGAAAACAATGTGCTGTCCTAATTATTCTTTGTAATATAATTTCTCTTTACAAAACAGAAAATATGCCTTTCAGGAGTAGAAGTTATAAGTTATATAGTAACAACCAACTTTACAAGTTTACTGCCATATATTATAATCAAACGACCTCATCTAAATTATCTACTAACCGTAAATACAATCACATTAGTTACATGAATAACATGTAGATCCTTATTTTATGTGGAAGGATAAATATGAGTAACATTGACACTCTCTTTCAACATTTATTATTAATGAGTGGGTCCAAGTTATTTAATGGGACAACATATCATTAATCTAATAACAAGGGGTGTGCTAAAAAATATTAAAAGAATTTATATATCGCTAGCATTCTACTTTATGAAATATATATTATAATATTTACATTTATTTTTAGCATATCATCATCAAAATGTATTATTATTTATATATTTACTCTTATATATTAATACAGAATACACTCACTTAAGAATGATTTAATTTTATTATTTACTCTCCCTTAGAGAATGAGGTGCCATTCTTATAGTCTCATTTAAATTTTAAACTCTAATTATTTTGATTTAATATACATATTTTCTCTATAATTTTAAATATTTTCTCTAAAATGTTTTTTAAATTTATTTTTTAAATTTTACTTAAATATAAAAATATTCGTATACACAAGATACTTATTACTTATTATAAAACTCAACTCATTGATATTGTTCAAGGATTGTGTGGTGGTTCTATTTTGCTTGTGATTCCATTTATCCGAGTGACCTATAAACTATATCAAAAGTTCAAAACGATATATGTTCAAGTATGTGGCCTATAGGTGCACCGACACAGACAACGAAACGCACCATTGGGCATAATTACTAGGATGGCACTAATGATAAGTTGTTCAATGCATGATATTTCATAGCGCGTAAGAAGCTGTTCCCAGTTATTTGTGTTGTCTCTCTCTGTTTGTGTCTGCAACTTTCTTTCTTCCTAATCCGTAGGTTGTTTCCAGCTATATGTGTATGCTTCCTCTGGAAAAAGTTCACACACATACGCGTTTTTATCAAAGTTCACCCACATACGCGTTTTTGACTGAACATTACCATAATGAATTTGTCACCAAAGCTGTTAAAAATAAGTTTCAAATTCCTACTTTTATAAAATTAAATTTATTTTCTTGTCGTAAACCTTCAACTCAAATTAATAGCATTAGATGTTTTTATAAACTATATAACTCTTGACATCAAATAACAGCTAAACCACCATACTGAATGTAAT